GCACTTGACCTGACCTCAGAGGTCACCGGTTGACCTAGGACCTTAAAATCGGGTACCAATCTCTGCGTCTCGTAACGGCGCACACGCTCGTTTTTTCCGCGACGCGCTAGCTCCACCAGGGGCAAAACGGCGAGGGGGGGTCGTACTCGCCCCCCCCCCCCCCTCGGCCGGCGCGTATTTAGAAAACCAATAGGTCCGGCGAGGGTTTGTAGCGTAGTTATATTGTCCTTGGCCGCTACTTCATATAATATCAGAACGCGTGTTGAATGGTGATAATAACGTGGGTATATTAAAGACTTGGTAAACACGTGCGTCGCGGAACAGAACCATAAACGGAAGAAAGAGTAGCGTCTCCAGAGTTGAAAATACAGAAAATATGTTAATAATAAATACGGTTTGAGAAATGATTGTCGGCTATGTTGATAATTTACATACGAAATAATTTACTATGAATAATTGTAAAGCAAGGAGGTAAATGTGATATATGAATAACAAGCTCCAATACTAGACAAAATGTGGTGCCACCTAGCGGTACACACGCAGGTTATATGTGCCGGCGCAGCGGCGATATGGCGCTAGCAGCGATGATGTGGCGCTAGTGAGGTCCGGCACGGCCGACGGGGCGGTAGCGTCGGTGCCGGGCCCACATGAATGTAGCGTAGTTATACTGTCCTTGGCCGCTACTTCATATAATATCAGAACGCGTGTTGAATGGTGATAATAACGTGGGTATATTAAAGACTTGGTAAACACGTGCGTCGCGGAACAGAACCATAAACGGAAGAAAGAGTAGCGTCTCCAGAGTTGAAAATACAGAAAATATGTTAATAATAAATACGGTTTGAGAAATGATTGTCGGCTATGTTGATAATTTACATACGAAATAATTTACTATGAATAATTGTAAAGCAAGGAGGTAAATGTGATATATGAATAACAAGCTCCAATACTAGACAAAATGTGGTGCCACCTAGCGGTACACACGCAGGTTATATGTGCCGGCGCAGCGGCGATATGGCGCTAGCAGCGATGATGTGGCGCTAGTGAGGTCCGGCACGGCCGACGGGGCGGTAGCGTCGGTGCCGGGCCCACATGGCTCCCCCCCTAGACGCGTCGGCCAGGAGGGTCGGCGAAGGTGACGCGACGGTAACGGGCAGGCGGCTGTATAGCACGGCCAGACCGAGTCCGCAGGATGGGCGCCGGCGGCGACGCGGTGGACGACGCGGCGGGTCCGTGGCGGACGCCAGCACGCCGAGCGGCCGGTGCAGTCGGTGGGCGTGGCTCGGCAGGCGGCGCGCCGGCCGGTGGCGGCGCGGGCGGCGCACGGGCCGCCGGCGGGGCGAGCGGCGCCGTCGCTCGTGCTGCAGGAGCCGGGGATCCGTCAGCCGGCGCAGGCGGTAGAGCGATGAAGAGCTCCGGCGCTGAGTGTCGGACCGCGGCCGCTGTGCGCTGCGGGCGGGCGGCGGTAGGCGGGGGCGTGGCCGGCGCGGCGCAGGCCAGGTAGGCCGGCTTCACCCGGTCCAGTGAGATGACGTCCGGGCGGCCGCCGCGGTCCACGGTGATTGTTTTTGGCGTTCTTGCCAACACGCGGTACGGCCCGGCGTACCGGTGGGCGAGCGGCGGCTTCACGGCGTCTTGGCGCACGAACACGTGCGAGGCGTGCTCCAGGGCGCGCGGCACGTAGGACGGGGCGGCTGATGCGGTCCGTGGCGCCGTCGGACGCAGCGCCGCCATGGTGCGCTGCAGGTTGGCGGCGAATGAGGCCGGTGTCGGCGGCTCGGAGGCGGACGGAGCGATGAGCTCGCCCGGCAGGCGGAGCGGCGCTCCGTAGACCAGCTCGGCAGTGCTGCAGCCCAGGTCCTGCTTGAGCGCCGCGCGGATGCCGAGCAGCGCCAGGGGTAGAGCCTCCGTCCAGTGGGCGGGCGCGGCGGCGCGCAGCGCGGCCTTGAGCTGCCGGTGCAGGCGCTCCACCATCCCGTTGGCCTGGGGGTGGTACGCCGTGGTCCGGCGCCGCGCGCAGCCGAGGAGAGCGGACAGCTCAGCCCAGAGCGCCGACTCGAATTGGCTGCCCCGATCGGTGATGATTTCGTCCGGGACGCCGAACCGAGAGATCCAGCCGGAGATCAGCGCCCGGGCGACCTCTCGCGCCGTGATGCCGCGCAGCGGGATCGCCTCCGGCCAGCGGCTGTACCGGTCCACCACCGTCAGAAGATAAGAGTAGCCCTCAGACGGCGGCAGCGGGCCGACCAGGTCGGCGTGCACTTGTCGAAACCTGTCGGCAGGGGGCGGGAACGAGGCGGGCGGCGCTGTCGTGTGCCGGTGGATTTTGGTGCGCTGGCACGGGATGCAGGTGCGCGCCCAGAGTGCGGCGTTCCTCTTCACCGACGGCCACACGAACCGCCGCGTGACCAGGTCGACGGTGGCGCGCACGCCCGGGTGGGCCAGGTCGTGCACGTGCCGGAAGTAGGCGCGCCGGAGCGGCGCCGGGATCCACGGGCGCGGCGCGGCCTGCGATTCGTCAACCACCAGGGTGCGGCCGCTGGGGAGACGGGCGTCTCGCAGCTGCAGTCCGTGCTGGGTGGATCGGAAGCGGGCCAGCTCCTGATCCTCCTGCTGACAGGCGGCGAGCTCGTCGAAGTCGTCGACGGCCGGGCTGGGGCTGGTCAGCATACAGACGGCTCGGGACAGCGCGTCAGCTGCGGCGTTGTCGGCGCCGGGGACGTGTCGCACATCCGAGGTGAACTGGAGGATGTAATCCAGCTGGCGCGACTCACGCGGTGAGTGGCTGTCCGAGGCAGAGGCGATGGCGTGCGTCAGCGGCTTGTGGTCAGTGAAAACCACCAGCTGGCGGCCCTCCACGGCGTGCCTGAAGTGCTTGATGGCCAGGTAGACGGCCAGCAGCTCCCTGCCGAAGGTGCTGTACCTTGTCTCTGGCTTCCTCAGGCCGCGGGAGAAGAAGCCGAGCGGCTGCCAGGCACCGGACACGAACTGCTGCAGGACAGCTCCCACGCCTGTGTCTGAGGCGTCCGCTTCCCAGTAAACATGCCGACGTCGGCCCGACGTCGGCCGACGTCGGGGTGACGTCGGCAACTCGGCATCCGCACGCCGACGTCGGCCCGACGTCGGTCCAACCTCGGCACGACGTCGGCTGGATGTCGGATATGCCCGCATGTACCGACGTCCAGCCGAGGTCCAGCCGACGTCGGGCCGACGTCGGACCGCGATCAATTGCTGAGGTCCAGCCGACGTCGGGCCGACGTCGGGGCGACGTCGGACCGACATCGGCCGTTGTTTTGACCGTTAAAATAATATAAAATACATGTTTCATGTTTCATAAAGAGCTTCTGTATTCGAAATATCCTCAGGAAACTCAAATCTTCCTCCACGCCGCAACCCCCTGATCCGGACTGGACGGGAAACTTTATCCCATTTGGGATTGCCCGTAAGCCGAGCTCGCCCGTAGCCGGGTGCGGTCAGTGCTTGGGGGCTGCTCGGCCTATCCTTTGGTCAGGCTCAGCCCCGGCAACTCACCATCACCAGGGCCGGGCCCAGTTCATATAGAAAGGCCAGTCGGCAAGTGTCACTTTGCCAAAGTGCCACTTATCAAAGGGACACTATGGGAAACGTTGGTGCAGGTGTGTAAGAGTGGCTATATGAATCCATTGCGGGGTCGCCCTTTTCAATAAGTGTCACGTAACAGCAATGGGACCAGGGACTCTATATGAACTGGACCCAGGGTGCTCGCCAAGAAGACCAATGTCTCCATCCTATCATCTTTCCGGCTCTGAAATGGTCTTGTCAGACCGAAAGGGCATAACCCAACAAAACAAACTGAATTTGATATCTGGCTGCGTGGTGTAGTGGTTAGCGCACTAACCTCCCGTTCAAATCACACGGGGTTCGAATCCCATCGCAGGCTGATACTTTTGGCCTAAACATGCCGACGTCGGCGACTGGGGGGCTCGAATCCCGCCGCCGGTTGATATTTTTGGCGCGTAGTCCCAATAAACATGCCGACGTCGGCCCCGTCGGTCCAACGACGAACGATCTCGTCAACCTCGGCAAACGACCTCGGCCCGACGTCGGCTCGACGTCGGCTGGACTTCGGCTGGACGTCGGAACATGCGGGCATATCCGACGTCCAGCCAATGTCGGCCCGAGGTTGAACCGACGTTGGGCCGAAATCGGGCCGAGCCTCGGCCCGACGTCGGGCCGACGTCGGCATGTTTACTGGGTTGGATGCTGATAGGCGCGCTGGGCACTTGGTGGGTGAGCAGAACAGCAGAGGAGACCGCATCCTTGCTCTGCTGGAAGGCCTTGGAGGCCTCCTCCGTCCACACCAGGGGGCGGTCCTGTCGTGAGGTGGACTTGAGGGTGAGCAGGCTGTACAGTGGCTGCAGGTGGTCAGCTGCTCGACGCAGGAAGCGATGGTAGAAGGTCACCATTCCGATGAACTTTCTCAGCTGGCGCTCCGTTTGTGGGGTTGGGAAGTCAGTGATGGCTTTCACTTTGCTGGGGAGAGGCGAGATGCCTGCCGACGAGACATGGTGGCCGAGGAAGTCCAGCTCGGCCACCCCCAGCTGACTCTTTGCCTTGTGCACCTTGATGCCGTGCTGAGAGAGGCGCTTGAAGACGGTGTGGAGGTGCTCTCTGTGCTGGGCGGCCGACTCGCTGGCCACCAGGATATCGTCTATGTAGACGAAACAGCCAGGCAGGTCTCGGAGCACCTCATCCATCAGGCGCTGGCACGTCTGGGCAGCGTTGCGGAGGCCGAACGGCATCATCTGTGCTTCGAAGAGGCCAAATGGAGTGGTTAGAGCGGTTTTGGGAATGTCGGAAGGCTCAACGGGGATCTGATGGAAGGCGCGCTGGAGGTCAAGCTTGGAGAAGACAGTAGTGCCATGTAAGTTGGATGAGAAGTCCTGGATATGCGGAAGAGGATAGCGGTCAGGGATGGTAGCTTTGTTGAGACGTCTGTAGTCCCCACAGAGACGGAATTGTCAAGGCTGTCCCTTCGGCTCCAGGTGGATTGGTGATGCCCAGCTGGACTTTGACGGTCTGAACGTGCCGCTGTCCAGGAGCATGGCCATCTCTCCTTTGGCTGCCTTCAGCTTGTCCGGGGCCAGTCTGCGGGGCCTAGACACCTGAGGCGGTCCAGTGGTCTCGATGTGGTGGGTGGTGTTGTGGACCACCTTGGCTGGTCCAGCAGGGGGTGTGGTCACATCAGGGAACTCACTCCAGAGGTATTCCAGAGTTGTTGTGAGCTGCAGTCCTCGGATGCCTGCTGGAGTGTCAGGGTGAGTAGAAGCAGCTGTCGCTACCACAACCCCAGACGGCAGGCTCAGGGTGCCAGCTGCCATGTCGATGGACAGCTGGTGATGGCGCAGAAAATCTGCTCCCAGTATGGCCGTGGTGGTGTCAGCAACCAGGAACGTCCAGGGGAACTGGCAGCCCCCCAGCTCCAGCGGGATCCGCACCTGTCCATGGACAGCGATGGATGAGCCGTTTGCTGCCTTGAGGCTGGGTCCGATGGCTGGTTCCAGGCTGGAGTTGGCAGGCACGCTGGCTGGTGGCAGGGTGCTCACCTGGGCGCCTGTGTCGACCATCAGGGTGAGCGAACCGTCGCTCACGTGGAGGAGGCGCGCCAGTTGTTGCTGGCCCGAGGGATCAGGCGCTGCTCCCTTCAGGCCTGGCCGTTTTCCTGCTGGGCTGGTGTCCACGAGCAGGGCTCCGAGCATTTGCGTGCAGCTGCTCCGAACCTGTGGTGATAAAAGCAGAGCTGGTTCAGCTGCTGCTGCTGCCCCCGCCTCTGGGACGGTGAGCGGGCCCTGGAGTGGCGGCTGTTTGATCGACCTCTGTAGCGGTGCTGCTGGTCCTGCTGGCCATAGTTGCCCTGACGCAGGCTGGTCACGTCGGTCTGCATCTGACCGATGGCAGCCGTGAGGGCAGCGACGGAGGCGGTCAGCTGGTCCAGTGCAGACTGGTTGGGCGGCTGTGGCGCTTGGTGCACTGCACTGACGGACAGTGCCGGAGTGTTGGCCTCCATGAAGCGGTCGGCCGCTGCAGCTAGTTCTGGCAGTGGAATGTCCTCTGGCAGCAGGGAGAGGGCGGCTCGGGCAGACTGGGGGAGGCGCTGCTTGTACAGCGTCCTCAGCAGGCCGTTGTCTGCTGGCAGGACGCCTGCCATGGCCAGCTCCCCCTGCATGCGGCGCAGGAGTTCAGAAGGCCTCTGGTCGCCGAGCTGCTGGTGCCGCAGTAGAGCCTCCAGGCGAGAGGCACGAGACTGGGCCAGCCTCTCTCGAAGGGCCGCCGTCAGGGTGGCATATGACGGTGCTGGGCTGCTGATAACATCCCTCACTTGAACGGCAACCTCGGTGGGCAGGTTAACCACCAGCACCTGGTAGCGGGTGAGGTCATCGGTGATTCCAGCCACCCCCAGCGCGCACTCAACCTGCGACAGCCAGAGCTCCGTCTCCTCCGTGGAGAACGGGGGCAGCCGCAGGGAGGCGACAGGCCGGCTGGCGGCCGAGGCTGGGGGCGGGATGGCTGCTGTAGCCGGGCCAGTTGCGCTGACTGGAGGCGCTCCGTTGCCGGTTGTCTCGCCGTTGGTAGACATGTCCCAGGTGAGGCGGTCGCGGCGCACTTAAACACAATCACGAATCACTTATCACGCACTAAAAATCACTTTGGGGTCACCAATGTAGCGTATAGTTATATTGTCCTTGGCCGCTACTTCATATAATATCAGAACGCGTGTTGAATGGTGATAATAACGTGGGTATATTAAAGACTTGGTAAACACGTGCGTCGCGGAGCAGAACCATAAACGGAAGAAAGAGTAGCGCGACCCCCACCAAACACGATTTGGCAGCACTGTAAAGACGTCTGCTGGGCGTGTGCTGGGCGTGAAGTTTTCCCTTCACCATAGGGTTTACACACAAACTGGTCAAAGTTTGAGCCAGGATATACTAGTCTAAAAATGCAAAAAACGAACAAATTTTGGCATCAATAGATTCAGCATTTCATCGTGTGCCTCAAACCGTCCATCATTTGGCCTCAAAGGAGGTAAAAATTGTTCAAAATCGAAGTTGAAAAGATGCTTTCTGCGCACATAATCTGGTAGCAATCACGTGACCTGCTATAAGCAGCTTATCGATAATTTACAAACATAATTATTAATATGCTGCTTTAAACAACATTAAAGGAAATAGTTCACTTTCACGATATTATTTTTTTGCAATGGATTTATGATTTTTTATGTTCAAAATGATCAAAAAAAAAAATAAAACCTATTTATAACAAAATATTATTTTCTATATTTTGATATAGGAAGAACTTTTCAGTTTCTGTAAGGCACACGCGATCCAGTATGAAAAGAGCATGGGTCCCGAAAATTCTTCAGAAACTAGAGAAATTATCGCGGCCACCGGCATTTGGGCGATCTGCTGCTGCTGAATGTCCCTATTGATCAGTACGAGAATTTCTCTAGAGTTCTCGTAGATAATTTCTCTAGTTTCTGAAGAATTTTCGGGACCCATGCTCGTTTCATACTGGATGCAAATATATGCAAGGCACACATCCTCAATGCAAGACACCTTTTTCGGGACGAGAAATAGAATATCTTTGCCTAGGGTGATCGTTGGGCTGTAAAAGCTCCTGATTTATGCTCGTCTCAGCCCAGGCTACGGAACTGCTATTCCAGTTCAAAACTCATGTTAAAAAGTGAACTATTTCCTTTAATCATACATTTTGAGCTTTCAGTACCTACTTTAAATAAGGTCAAAACATCGCATAACACAAAAGTTAATACAATAGTCACGTGGGTGTCAGGAAATGTCACAGGTGCGTCAAATTTGTGACTGGGGCTTTACTTTTTGTTTACTTTCAAACATCGGATCTACCTGTTTCTTATAGGTATCTTGGAGTAGCGTCTCCAGAGTTGAAAATACAGAAAATATGTTAATAATAAATACGGTTTGAGAAATGATTGTCGGCTATGTTGATAATTTACATACGAAATAATTTACTATGAATAATTGTAAAGCAAGGAGGTAAATGTGATATATGAATAACAAGCTCCAATACTAGACAAAATGTGGTGCCACCTAGCGGTACACACGCAGGTTATATGTGCCGGCGCAGCGGCGATATGGCGCTAGCAGCGATGATGTGGCGCTAGTGAGGTCCGGCACGGCCGACGGGGCGGTAGCGTCGGTGCCGGGCCCACAGGTTAAGGCATTCCTGTACGCTCAGTAATACTTGTCAATTTATATACTTAACCCGCGCCGGGCCCGGAACATCCCTGCGGTTTTGTTCGTGCATCTTTTCCGCACATGTTGTGAAAATTTCAGACCCAGGCTGTCGTAGGTCAGGTCACCAGGTCACGCCAAGTGACCTCACCTCAGAAAAAAGAATGCTCGTCATAGCTACATCGATTGATTGATGACCTTGAAACTTTCAGCGATTTTAAAGCAACATTATCTATTAAATTTATATCTCGGAATTTTGATATCGGTGACCTAAGGTCAGGTCAATTTGGCGGCCTCTCCTTTACATGTCAATGGGAGAAAATTGAAAATCGTCTGTTATGCAAATATGCGCGAACGCTATTCTAGACACTCTCAAACATCGAGTTGTAGGTAATATTGGCACACTGAACCGGAAAATGGCAGCTGTGACCCCTCGTTATGTCCCCGAGGTCATCTCAGGTCACGAACAGAGTCTAACAGTTTTTTGCTAATAACTTCTGATAGAGGCGTGCTAGAGCGATGAAAACGCTTTAGCTGTGTTCGGCTCGACGTTGCGGATCGACTGATATGCAGCATGACCTTTTCCGGTCAGCATGACCTTGACCTGAGGTCAAATTTTCAAGTTGACCATTCAAGGTCAAATTATAGTTCATTCGATGCGTCTCGACGAGAGGAACACGATGCTGGCAATAGTAATGTCATGGCTTATTTGAGTCAAAAGTTATTGCCGAAAAAACGTTTTTCGTAAAAACGGCTATTTTGGGAGTTTTGCCCTCTGGAGGCTAAACCGTTGACCTGAGGTCAAATCTGAGGGCATTATTCAGAAAGGCCTGTAAAAGGGCTGTCGAATGCACTTTTCTGCGGGTGCTGTAGCTCTATCGGTTCCCAAGATAGCCCGTGCCCCGTAGGGCTATCGGCGGACCCTACCACCCGTAGGGGAGAGGCCGTTTTGCCCCCCCCCCCCTCCTAAGATCTCGGAAATTTACCGGCCGATTTTCAAAATTCAAACGGTGTTTGATAGCCCCACCGGGGAACTACCTTGTGACCAAATTTCATTGACCTAGGTCAAACCGATGACGGCAAAGGTCAGGTCAAAGGTCGGATTTTCACCGTTCACAGGCATTTCAAGAAATGTGTTGTGAAATCGAGTAAATTGGTAATTTATTGAAAACCATCGATGGTACATTGTTCTTCAAACACATACTTTACTATCTGAGGTCACTGATACCAGGTCAGGTCACAGCGAGGTCAGGTAACCGGGGGTCACAATATGAAAGTGTCGTGTGATACATGTTTTATGGTCCATTTTACATGACAAATGCGATTATGTGGGTTAGGCAGCCTTTGGGGCCAGCCTGGGTCACATTTTGGTGAAGGTCAGGTCAAATTAGGTCAAATTTCGAAGTTGATATTTTTGCATAAAATGGGTATCGATTCGATGCAGCTTGTCACGGGAAGTCTAATGATGGTCTTTGTTCTGCTCTAAGAGGTCTAGAATTGCCAAAAAATTGAGTTTGGAAATTTGACGTCATTATTTTTGAACAGTTTTTTTTCGCTATAACTTGGCCAAAAAAGGAGACACTGATCTGAACTTTGGTATGTAGATAGAAGACGGTAGGTACTGTCACATATGTTCCTTTTTTCGAAACTCAAAAACCTTTTTGGATTTTTTGGCTAATATATCCAAAAAATGCTTTTTTGATTTTTAGGGATCAAAACTCAAAAATATAAAAAAAATCCGAGATAGCAGTTTTGTAGCCCTGTCAATTTTACACCTTTTACGTCCGATCATTTTTCTGTATCTTCAAAGCTGTAGGCCTGACTGGTCTTCTCGCGAAGGTCTTTTTTCGGTCAAAAATGGCAGAACATGACGTCATTCTGACGTCATTTGTGACCAACCTATCATAGCCTCTGGAAAAAATATTTGGTCACAATGTGTAAAATTGATGCCCGGAGGGGTCCTAAAAGTTTGGTGGCGATATCTTCAGCCGTTTAGGAGATATCGACGGAAAAGGACAGGGAGGGGCCGTTTCGGCCCCCCCCCCTACGGGGCGCGGGAGCCGTTGGCAATTTCCAAAATGTTGAAATAGTCAATATTTTACCTTTGGTGACCTCTGGTGACCTGACCTTTAACCTGACACAAAAAATGACCGAAGTGTTTTCGTCCTTATTTTGGACGTTCTTTCGATTGCCGCTTACCGCGTGTCGCTACTTGGCCCAGGAGCAGAGTTAGACGGGGAGTGTTCAGACCCCCCCCCCCCCCTGGCCCGGCGCGGAATCTCAGAGCATCGGTCAGGCTCGGGTTAATCAAGTTTATGTTGTTCAGCATCGAGACTTCCCTAACCCGCGCCACGTTGAGGTCTGCCAGGTTCCACGTCCTGTTGGGGGGGGGGGGCGGCCAAAGGGTCCCTCCGTCGTATCTCCGGAACCAATAGCCGGATCGAAAAATGCAAACGACATTCGAAAGAGCTCATCGTGATGCACACGATAAGATATCGATGACCTTGATAATTGACATGTGAAGTCACAAGGAGGTCAAATAAGGTCAAATCAGTCCAATGCACAGTGACGAGAAGTCGATCATAAAAATGAAATGAAATATAAGTTTTCAAAATAAACCTGGATATGGTATCTGGATATTGTGTTGCGGTCATGTAGGTCGCGGGTTAATTTGGTGATGATTTCGCTGATATATTCAGGGGTTCTTATGGTGACGACTCGTTTGAGGTTTTTGCCCGCAGCGACCATATGCTGCCAATGTGGGAAGTGTTCAGTGCCACCAATTGGGCACTGAATGCTGTAAGTGGTAAGAGAAAGGCACTGCGATTTCTAATAAAAAGATACCTAGCGATCATTCTGACAAGTCTGAGAGAGTGACAAAGGGATGGATGCTGCGCATTAGGATGAAAAAGCAAAGGCACAATCAGCAACAAATCCATGCGCTTGAATTTTCAAAGGAAGCAGCTGTGTTCTGCTGCAAACAACGAACTTATACCTGATACTGGTCTATAACCGCACTATCAGTAGCGGCGGAACACCTGGGGGGGGGGGAGGCCACTGAGTCACTGACGACTTTTGGTCCCATTCTTTCCATGAAACGCCCATACGGGCTAATTTTAAAATGGCAAAATCAAGGGGGACACGGTGCCCCGGTGCCCCCCCCCCCTTTCCGCCGCCTATGCGCACTATGCATGGGAACCCTTGGCTAAAAGGGCACTGACATAGCTTCATGGTCCTACATAGGTGTCTCTGTAATCGCCTAGGCCAAGGAAGTCCAAATAGATGACGCCTCACAGAATATTTCTTGTGGAAATGTGTCACGAAAAGATCACAAGCCGGATCGCGACGAAACTTTCGGTTCTTACGCGTTTATCAAGTTTATATCTACTTAACCTGAAAACTTCATGACCCTGATCCAGTTAACCTTTGACCCATTCGTGCTCGCCATCCTCACGACAAGCCAATCTGCATTGCCCTCACGTTTCCCTGCATCCAGGCTGGCGGGCACCCCCTCCAGAGAGCCGGTGGTCGAGATCGTGTCTTCACCAGGACAGGACTCGCTAAAATCCTCTCCGGGGCGAGCGTTTGAGCGGCGGGCGTCGGCGCGCTGTCCCAGCTGGGCAATCCGGTCCCCCCGGGACGGTCTCGCCCCTGCGGCTCACTGTCGGCGAGTCGTCCTTCGACCTGTGACCTCCATAGAGACAATGTGATCAGGTGCACCAGGATGGTGATTTGAGGTATGTAGGTATGTCAGCGCACCTTATTTGTGCGTCTCCAGACTTGTTGTAATTAAAAGCGTGTCAGCATGCGGAATGATTTTTGTCCAATATGTTTTCTGGGTATCAGGGAAGGTTTTTCGCAGATACCGCAAACGGGGGTGACTTCGTCTTGCTGGGTGACTTTGACATGCTTCTCAAAAAATGCTTTAGGATGATCTCCAGTGATATTTTACGAAGAATGTAATGATTTTTTTACGCACAAATGAATGATAATTAATGGGCCTTCCAACATAACCAACACTGAGAGATAAGTTACCACTAAATACCTAACTGGGCTCCATTTTATTGGAGTCATTGAAATGGTCAAATTTGAAGATGTCCGAACTTTTTACGGAGCGAGCGAAGCGAGCGTAGTCTTTCCTTAGATTAACGGAAATTTCTGAGTATGAGCGGCCGGCCGGCCGGCCGGCCGGCCGTGGTCACGCTTTTGCGAGGCTTATATCTCAGCAACCACTTGACCGATTTACACGCGGTAATTTTTGTAGGGTAGCTTCATTCCTTCTACCAAGTTTTGGACTATTCCTGATGCATGTGGGTGACCCCTTATGCACGTGCCACGTGCAAAACGAAGAGGTGTCCGTTTTGTAATTGTTGCAATATCTCGGTAACTACTTGGCCGATTGCGCTGAAAGTTGGCATGTAGGTAGGCACCCACTAGGCACTGCATATCCATGTGCCAGAGTTGGAGCGCTGCTGCACGTGCGCACGTGCAGGGGTCGTTTCCAGATCTCGAGAACGGCTCTACCAATTACCCTCAAATTTGGTACACAGTTAGGGACCGGTTAGTAAGGTGCCGTGCACAAGTCAGTTGGGGCCCATTTTGCACGTGCGCACGTGCAGGGTGCCGCTTCCAGATCTCGAGAACGGCTGGGCCGATTGCGCTCAAATTTGGCACATCGCTAGAGACCGGTTAGTAGGGTGCCGTGCACAAGTCAGCTGGAGGTACCCCGTCGAAATTTCGCACGTGCAAGGCTCACCCTCTCGCTCGCTCCGTTAGTCGCCCCAAAAGGCGTTATACTGGTATTACGGAGCGAGCGAAGCGAGCGGAGTCTCATACTGAATTAAGGGAAAATCCTGAGTATGAGCGGCCGTGGGGACGCTCTTCAAAAGCTAATATCTTAGGAACGGGACATCCGATTGACAAGCGGTCTTCTTTACTGAATGTCACTTGGACGTAAAAGTTATGTGGTGTGATGGCCACCATGCGTTCTTGCCAACCACCGCACGTGGCGCGTGGTAAAGTTGGACATTTTTTAAGAACCCCCAAAATTGCAACCTCAAAAACGGCACAACGGTTGGGCCCATTGAATTGAAACTCGGTACACAGTTAGGTCTCCATCAGATAATTCATCTGCATGTGCTAAGGTTGGGGTGCTACAGCACGTGCGCACGTGCAGGGGGCGCTCCCAGATCTCGAGAACGGCTGGGCCGATTGCGCTCAAATTTGGTACACGGTTGGGGAGCAGTTAGTAGGGTGCCGTGCAAAAGTCAGTTTGGACCCCGCTTGCACGTGCGCACGTGCAGTGTGCCGCTTCCAGATCTCGAGAACGGCTAGGCCGATTGCGCTGAAATTTGGCACATCGCTAAAGACCGGTTAGTAGGGTGCAGTGCACAAGTTAGTTGGATGTACCCCCTCGCAATTTCGCACGTGCAAGGCCCATCCTCTCGCTCGCTCCGTTGGTCGCCCAAAAGGCGTTTTACTGGTCATATTACCATGTTCTAGACCTACTGCGATGCTGAAACTTGGTATGGTTGATCATGACAAGGCTGTTAAGTTTATAGCATTTCCAACAAAACTGCACACAGAAAAATATTAACACCGTTAGCGGTGTAATTGCACAGTACATATCTGAGCACTTGAGGAAAGTTAATTTAGTCCCTTCCCCGCTTAAATTACTCGCGCTTCTAAATGAACACCAGGAAGAAGGTAACAGAACACTGTTAGGAGGGTTGGGTGTTTTACTACATGTTGTAAAACACCCAACCCTCCTAACAGTGTTCTATTACCTTCTTCCTGGTGTTCATTTAGAAGCGCGAGTAATTCAAGCGGGGAAGGGACTAAATTAACTTTCCTCAAGTGCTCAGATATGTACTGTGCAATTACACCGCTAACGGTGTTAATATTTTTCTGTGTGTGGCATTTTAACTTCATTTAGCTAAACAATTTGGTGGCGATTCTTCCAAGTGAATTGCAGGCCACATGTGGTGACTTTGCCACCATGTTATCAATGTAAAAATGAAATACTTATCCGATGCAATTAAAAATAAGTTTTTAATGTAGCATCATTTTGATCTCAAAACTGGTTTTTAAAAAGTAAAAGTTTATTTGTTGAAAATTAACCTTCGCCCTGGTGGGGGGGGGGCCATTTTGGCCCCCCCCCCTGTGGTTTTTCAGCGATAACTCAGAAACCACTTGAGTTAGCGCCCTGAAACTTTGTATAGCTGTTTATTCAACATTTTTACATCATGTCCTTTTTTGGGGGGTTCGGGTCAGGTCAGGTCAGGTCACAAGGTCACCAAAACTGACACCACCTCTAAAAAAGTTCAAAGCTCTCTCAAAGGCACAGCTTTTATCCGATCGATGTAAAATTTACAGTACTTGAAGATGTCACCCAGCTCTACAAAATGGCTATCTCGGATTTTTTATAAATGTGACCTAAGGTCAGGTCAGGTCATCGCTGCTCCCCATTATAAGTCAATGGGAGAATCGAAAAGTAGTTGTTTTTCAGCTAAATCGGGCGTGATTGTTCCTATATTTCGTTATTGAAGTGTCTTGGGTCAGCAAATCACAGCCCATGTGAAACCATTTGCTTGTGACCTCGCTGAGGTCACGCTAGGTCATCTCCCTGGTCACCAGAGGTCACCAGCGGTTTTTCTGCACTTACTTGTTATTGAATAGAGATAGAGACTCCATTCGACGTTTATCGTGTTTGTCTCGTCAATGCGGATCGAATGATATGCAGCATGACCTATTTCGGTAAGGTCATGACCTTGACCTGAGGTCAAATTTTCAAAATGACCTTTCGAGGTCAAACTATATATCATTCGACGCGTCTCGACGAGCCAAGCACGATGGTGCATGAATCGTTTCTCTATTTTCTCGTGAATGCATGCTATAGTTAAAAACATTTTCAACGAAATTTGCCAAGTTGACCTTGCATGACCTCTGTAGGCCAAACCGTTGAGCTGAGGTCAAATCTGACGAACTTTGGCGAAAGAGCTTGAAAAGAGCTATCGATTGCTTTTTTCCGCGGCTCTCTAGCTCTTCTAGTTTCCGAGCTACAGCGGAATATGTCCGGCAACACCGAAAACACTGAAATTTGACCTATGATGACCTCTAGCGACCTCAATATTGACCTTAGCGAAAAAATGACCGAAATACTTTCGAACGTACTTGTTATGGGCTTTCGTTTGCTTTTTTCCGCGTCTTCCTAGCCCTCTTCGTTTTCGAGTTAGACGGGGGGGGTCATTTTGGCCCCCCCCCCACCAGGGCGAAGGTGGCTCAGACCCACACCAGGGCGCGGGTTAACACAGGAATGTAACGTGGAAGTATAGAAAGGCAAAAATTACCAAAATAAAAAATGGTTGAAGCTGGGCCCAACATTTCAGCACAGCCATGATCATCTACAGCTCCTGAGTTTGCCAGTAAGACTGACTAAAGCAATCTGTATCATTTTATAGATCAAAACACTGATAATAAGGGTGTCGGTATGATCCCGCAAGAACGTCCTATTTCTGTTCCGCTCTTAATGGCGCTGGAAAAAAGCGGCAAGGTCGTAGAGTACCAATACAATAATATATTTGCTTATTATACTATTCTGAACCATTTTTCAGTTTCAATTTACTATCAAATATCAATTATTTTCAACAAATATAATGTATTATGAAAAATAAGGTATCTGTCCTTTTTAATACATCATTTAAGAGCAAAGAACCTCAAATTGCTTTATTTTTTCCTATTAAACAATAAAGGATGGCTGCTCTTCCCCATACAATGGAACAGAAATGCTTGAAAAGTATTTGATAGCGTTAAAAACATTATTTGGCATAGTGGCAAAGTCACCCCTTTTTCAGTTTAACTTTGCCACGACTCATTTCCCTTAAAAATTTATATTTTTAGGCAAGATATAAATACGATAATAGCAAAACAGAAAGAGCTAATCTTCATCCGTGTTTTGAACATAGTCATCCCAATAAGTTAACAAGTTTAAAGAATACAAGCGTCTAAAGTTGAAAATATGGCAAAGTCACCCCCGTTTACGGTATCTAAAAAAACGGTGGCCTTCATGCATCTTTTCTATTTTGGGTTGTCGTTAGGTACCAAAAACTCTTGTTCACCGACCAGCCTTGGCTCTGGGAAACCAGTAGGTATCGGTCAGCTGAGGTGGGTTCGGAGACGGGGCGCGGTCGCACCCCGCCCGTGCCGACCTGTGAAAGCAGTCAGTCGTTGCTCTGTACCACTGACGAGGTCGCGGTCAGCGGCCGGGCGGCCTTCGACGGCGGCCAGCGGCCCGCTCCGGGCCGCTGTCAGTCGGGCCAGTCCGCACCGATCGCCGCTGCCGACATGTCCCGTCCCCTGTTGCTGCTGGTGCTGGCGGTGGCGCACGCCGCCGGCCAGGGCCCGCCGCTGGTCTGCGAGTACCCCGAGGGCCTGCAGACGTACCCGGACCCCGGCTCGTGCGAGCGCTACTTCCGCTGCGCCAACGGCACGCTCACCCAGGAGGTGTGCGCCAACGGACTGCTCTTCTCGGGGACCGGCGCCGTCCACGAGGGCTGCGACTACCACTGGCGGGTCCACTGCGACACCCGGGCCTTCCAGGAGCCGGCGCCCGTCCCCGGACCCTGTCCGTTCGCGTTCGGAATCTTCCCGTCCGGAGACGGGTGCGTGGACTACTTCGTCAAGTGTGCCTACGGCGTGCCTCAGCCGGAACTGTGCCCCGAGGGTCTGGCCTACGACGAACGCACGCACGCCTGCAACTGGCCCGACCTGGTGCCGCAGTGTTCCGTCGGCGATGCTGAGACGCTCTCCGGCTACTCCTGTCCCGATCAGATCCCAGCCGGCTCGGCGTCGCTTCGCTTCGGCGCCTTCCCGCGCTTCGCCACCGGCCGCTGCGACCGCCTGGTGACGTGTGTCAACTACTACCCGCGCATCACCAAGTGTCCGTATGGCAAGGCCGTGGACGAGAGCTCGCTGACCTGTGTGGACGCCGAACTGGTGCCTGGCTGTGCCGCCGTACCGCCGCCGCCGCCGCCGCCGCCGCCGGCCGTGACCGTGCCGGTGTCCGTACCTGGTCCTGTGGTCGGTCCGCTGCGCAGAGTGCCCAGTGCCGGCGGGCGCATCGTCGCCATCAAAGGACCCGGACTGAAGCTGCCCGAATTTGTGCCCGGAAGAGTAAAATAAATAAGGTTATACGATTTTTGAGTTGCTGTCCTGAAGGTGTGTTTGTTCTCGATAGGTGACTCTGAGCCGTTAAATTATCCAAGAATTTTAGAAGTATTTTCTCATTACCTTAACATTGTACCTAAAGATGAAAAACATATAAAAGCACACAGAAGCGCTGTTAATTCTAACGTAGCTGATGCGTTTAGCTGCGCTCATCTTTGATGCCGCTCTCTTCGTTCAGTTGGGTATCTGTTAGACCAGTGCATGTCTCTCTCACTGCCCAGCGGTCGGCGGCCTCGGTGGTTGCCGTTTTTTTTCATTTTGCTCCAGGCACACGGAGGCTGCCATGACAGCCAGGAGTAGCGCAATTCTTGGCTTAGTTTGTGTCATGTGCCAATCATCTGTCAGCAGGTAGCTCGGCCGACCCCGCCCCGACCGGGTCATTACACAACCTGTCCGCTGTGCAATCGCCTGCACAGCAAGAAAACCGGACAGGTCGCAAGGTGGCGGTCTAGTTCTTGTAAGAATAGGAAAAACTCGCCGCTCAGTTGTGAAACGGATTGCGCCGGCTGCTAAGTATGTGATTATTGGCTATAAAACTCTTTCTCTATGGTGACTTGCTGTGGTTATATGCTATTGGTCCCTTAGGACGACATTTATTCTGATTTTCTATTGAAGCTGGCTTCCTGCAGAGAATGTTGTGCGAATGGTATGTAAGAAATGTGTCTGCACCACGGCCCCGTAAATCAGGTATTTATTTGTTTGATGTAAATAAAACATGTCGAAAGCAGCCGCATTTGCTAAAATCCCATTGGGAAATACTTGCTTTGCTAGCCTCCTGGACTCACTCATTACAATATGTCCTGAAGCACTTGGAAAGAAATAAGAAGCACGCTGACTGCAGCAGATCCAGCTGGGATCTCAGTTCCCGTGAGAGTTAACCCTCGCATGTGTAGGGGGGGGGGGGGTCGGATGGACCCCCCCCCCCATGGTTTTTCGCGAATAACTCGCGTAAAAAGCGGCCGATCGCGACGAAACTTTCAGTACCCTCTCATTGATCAATTTTAGGTACACCTACCCTAAAAATTTCATGACCCTGACCCAAATGACCTTTGACCTGTGACCTCTTTTCCGAGACCATGTTTGGCCGGAATCGCGATTCCGCGTATGTCGGCTCGCATTAGCCGCGCGTTTGCAAGCTTTTCGTGGTTTCAAACGTTCAAACATGTGATTTGATGTTGCTCCCATGCATTAGAATGGGTGTCAAGGTCATCTGAAGGTCAGGTCAGGTCATTGACTTTTGGTGACCTCGGGTGACCTCGGTTCACTTTTTCGAGTTTTACATGTTTCTAGGCTAGTTTTTGGAGCTGAATTCGAATTTAGCAACCATTTGAACATTTACGAAGTAGTTTTGGTGCCTTCGTAACATGTTACGAAGCTGTCAGAGGCGGTTGACACGTACTACGAATACCCGTCACAACCCCTACTGGTTGACCTGACCTGACCTGACCCGACCTGGTCTAAATGCTTAAAGACATCTGTGATCAAAACTAACACGATATTCGTGATCAGCACCCCGAAAAACCCCTTAGCCGCCACACTTTACGACTTTCTAATAGGTCCCGATTTTCCCGACTTTTGGTCATTGACCTGACCTGGAAGGTCAACCAATGAACTAGGACCTTAAAATTTGATATCATCGGCTTCCTCTCGTCACGGGCAACACGCTCGTTTTTTCCGCGAAGCTCTAGCTCGATCAGGGGCCAAACGGCAAGGGGGGGTCCAACCGACCCCCCCCCCCCCCCTACACATTAGAAGCTGGCAAACGCCGCACACATGCGAGGGTTAAAAAGAAATTCGTAGATTAAGAAACAGGAAGGCATGGTGTATAGTTTGATCTGTGGGGTATTTATCTAGCGACGCCAAATTAATTGATCATCAGTACTCAAATAGCAGGGGTGACAGAGCTGACCGATTCTTTTAGACATATCAAAGTAAATCTATTGGCATTTTGATGTCCGAAAATTTGGAAAATACTATGACAAAACAATATAAGAAATACATTCAAAGTTGCCAAGATAACATTCAAGCATTTCAGAGTTTCTGATTTTGCTGATTGAGCAAAATTATACGATAACGATTCAACTTTTCCTCGCTTTTCATTTCGATGATATCTAAAATTAATGCTTTGACGATGCCATGATTCCAATAACTAACTATTTCCCCATTGATGTTCCTTTTCACGTATAAAAGGCTTCATTTTGATCTAGGATAATCACTTTCAGACCAATGCATTATAAGCTAACAGTTCAATTTAGGCCAACCCATTGCAACATATTTATTGAGAATTAAGCCCACGACTTGCATAGCTTACGTGTATATTTTTCATTGTTAACACACCGCCAGTCGAGCAATTCCGGACAGTAGGCAGCATTTAGAAACGAAAAAATTGGGTGTCCGGCAGAACCGGCCCTGTAGCGGCACCGTTGAACTAAATCCGACCTTGAACTAAGCTGCCTTCAGTCCGGCACCTCTTCCTTACTGGAGGATCCGCCCGAAAATCCTCTCAGCTGGGCACAAATGGAGGCGGGCTTTTTCTCTCAGCGTTTTTGTCACTACGCATTATTGACGTCACGGGATGGTGTGGAGCTTCCTTTTTTCTAGCTTCTGGTCAATTACACCGGCACCAGATACCAGGACCCAATATCAAATGGCCTAAATGCGTGAAGATTCAGCAGTACTGGCCGGAGTTGAGCGACACTTACCAGCTAAGCAGCATAATTATGACACATTTCCGTCAATCGGGCATTAACGTTTCAAGGAACAAGTCCACTAAGAGAAGACACACATTTGCCAATGCCATTGAATCATCACAGACGTTACAAAATGCGGTGCATAAGAAGAAGGACGCATTATGAGACTGGCTCTGGCTTTTCCGACAGTGGACGCCTCGCGATCGGCGAATATAGACGGCCAAGGACGTAACATATCGTGGCGAGCGGCGGGGAAGCCAAGCCGAATCATGTTCCCGGCTCTGCATCAGCTAAGTGATCTGCAAATGCCATTCTTCTGATGGATGTTTGACTAGGGTGCGTAAGGCGATGAAGAAATAAGGAAATACGCTGGTCAATATTAGCATTGGGAGAGTGGTCATACCATCTTTTCCGAAAACGTATCCATCTCGGGAATGACTGTAACTATGGGTGATATTTACTGCCCAGCTTGACTGTGATGCAGAAGCGTTCTCTGGGATTGTCTGCTATTTGCTGCGCTCAAGGCTATTCAGTTTGAGAGAAGGGTAATAACTGTCACGTTTTGAAAGTAATGTGCTCCCACTGAGCCCGGCTGAGCTAGGCTTAGAAAGTATAGGATCTCTTCAGTACAGCGAACACAGACGAGCCTTGTAAGCCGAGCCGAACTATACAACAAGACATACAACGTTATACGTCTCGCAATAATTGACAGTTGTTTCCTGATTTTGCTTTTGAAATGAAGAAAGACGCTTGCAACATATAAAGTGCTTTCAGTCTTCTCGTGTAGCTGTGTGCGGATGTAACCTGCATATTTGTCCTCTTAGATGAATGTAAAGTTAACACATACTGGCAAGCCTTGCTTTCCTTCAATTAATGTCAAAGATTTTTGCGACAAATTTCTGTTGAAACATTTTTCTTTTTATGTAGCACAAATTCTGTCGAGGCAGAATTAATAGGATGTTTTCAAAACATGTATTTACACAATATTTATTGAAAGGAAGGTTATGCTATAATGCTTTGATTAGAAATTGTAAAGCGATTTGTTAACCCGCGCCCTGCTGGGGGGGGGGTGTTTGAACACCCCCCTTGTGGTTTTTCGCGAATATCTCCAAAGCGGCGGCGCGGAGCGCCGCCGTTTTTGGTACACCTTATTATACATCAATTCTACACCTGTTGTAAAAATTTCAGGCCAAGTTCATTCAAGGTCAGGTCACCAGGTCACTTGAAGTGACCTCACCTCATAAAAAGTTTCAATGTCTGTCATAGCTACACCGAGTGACCGATCGCTTTGAAACTTTCGGCGATTGCTAAGAGCAATAGCATGTACAAAATGTATATCTCAGAATTTTGATATCGATGACCTAAGGTCAGGTCAATTTTGCGACCTCCCCATTACAAGTCAATGGGAGAAAATTGAAATGTGCCTCTTTTGGACGAAAGACATTATAAACACTCCCAAACACTGAATTACAAGTGGTTTAGACAAACTGAACATGAAAATGGTGTCCGTGACCCTTGTTTATGCCCTGAGGTCATCTTACGTCATGAATGGTATCTAACAGTTTTTCGCAAATAACTTTTGATAGAAGCATGCTAGAGCGATGAAAACACCTTATATGTGTTCAGCTCGACGATACGGATCGACTGATATGCAACATAACCCTTTCCGGTCAGGTCATGACCTTGACCTGAGGTCAAATTTTCAAGTTGACCTTTCAAGGTCAAGTTATAGTTCACTCGATGCGTCTTGACGAGGGAAACACGATGCCGGTGAAAGTAAGCTCGTACAAGGCTTGGGTCAAAAGTTATTGCAGAAAAACTGTTTCCAAAAAAATCGGTTATTTTTGCAGTTTTTGCCCCTGCAGGCAAAACCGTTGACGTTAGGTCAAATCTGAGAGAATTACCCAGAAAGGTCGTTAATAGGGCTATCGAATGCGCTTTTCCGCGGCGCTGTAGCTCTATTGGTTCCCGAGTTATGCGTTGGCTTCTTTGAAATTTTCGACATTCGACCTGGAAATCGGCGAAATTTTGCCTTCAATGACCTCTGGTGACCTGACCTTTGACCTGACCAAAAAAAATTGACCGTAGTGATTTCGTCATTATTTTTGACGCTCTTTCGAACGCCGCCTTCCGCGTATCGCTACGTGGCCCAGGAGCTGAGTTACGAGGGGGGTGTTGAAACACCCCCCCCCCCCAGCAGGGCGTGGAAATCCAGGACCCCCAGCCGGGCGCGGGTTAAACCTAGTTTAATAAATAAAAGATTAAAGATTAACTTGGAA